CAGTGTGCAATCTGGTTGCAATTCAACCGGAAACAGTTGTTACACATAAACGGTTTCCTAATCTTAATTTTTTGTCATTGTTTTTTATCCGTATTTTCTGTTCTATAATATATTGGTTGTCACAAATTTTTTAATGTACTGTTCCAACCTAACAGTAAAAGGTTGCTCAAAACATGTTAACATATCATTGATACAGCAATAATGACCAAAAATCAAACAACAAATGTAACAACTAATATTAGTGAACAGTGATCCTATTGAAGATGAATAAAAATAAGTCAAAATACAAAGATCAGAAGATGTAGATAGCCTAAATCATGATTTTGGTATCATAATTGGCATACTGTTTAATGATATAATATCTGTTGATTTATAATTGTCAACGAAAATGTAACAGCGAATTTACAAAACAGAAAAAAGAAATGAAAACTTTTAACTGTTTTAAACAAAAAAATTAAACTGATACCTAATGAAAAAAAAATATATTTCAGTTATCTTTTGGTATTTATAAGTACAAAACTGAGACAAGTTTAACAGTAAAATATTGGTGAATTATCGACTATATCTTTCAATTATTTACTTCCAAACAACTGCTGTAAATAATTTTGTCAATTAATCTTAAGTAGTTAAAAAAAACAAAAAAAAATTTGCTTACCAAATTCAACTGTCCGTATATTATCTATGGAATAGCCAATTTTTGTTCTGTAAAAAAAAAAAACCTTTTAAAATAAATTTTAAAAAACTAAAAAACAGAGCTGCTTTTTTCTGCACTTTCCAGACAATTGCACAATAAAAAATACTGAGATTGGCTCCAAGTACCAATAAAATGTGTAAATGAGATCAATGAATAAACTTTAGGTTTGTTTCATTTGCAAAACAGCGAGTGAAGGTAAATACTAAGCCAATCTGCGAATAAAAGTTGTCAGCGACAGGAGCTGACTAAATTGAACAACACATTAAGCTCCATGCGGAATATCGTAACGTAATCCTTGTGTACGTATACCGATGAATTGTGGATCAAAGGTTTCCAAATATACATCACCATTTTCTCTGGTCTGTAAAAAAAAAAA